CTTTTTTAGTAAATCGTTAAATCTATGTTATTTCTTGGATTTTTCATATGGAATACGTTGTAAATAAGTACTACAAACATAATTCATGACAAAAAAAGAAAAAAATATATTTTGACCAGGGGTTTATATTGGGGGGGGGGGGGTGTGTCCTGTCCACAAGTACCTGTGCTTTCTGGCAAATCAAGGTCGCCGACAAAGAAAAAAAAATGTTTAAGCATAACCTTGTACATGTAATTAAAATTTACTGGAGGCTCATGCTGGGAAGACAGGTTGTTGACATAAGAAAGTGCAGTGACCTTGACCCAAGGTCTATACTTCCTGTCCACAGCTCCAACGGAAGACCTACTCGTTGCTTTGCAACGAGCTCGGCTCTAGTTTAAGAAACTGTTTAAGTTTAAAAGAAAGTAGAATGAGTTTACAAGAATAAAGCAACATAGAAGTAAAACAAAATGAAGAAGGATAAAAGTCAAAGTGAAATATGTAATAAAGACGAATATGAAAACAATAAAGTGACATATAACTACAATAATAACAAAGCATAAAGAAGTAGGCAGAATAAGAATAAAAGCAAGATACATAGGATTTTGGCGGTAATTCCCTTCCATAGACGTTTTATGGAATTTATTATTCGTTTGTTTGTGTCAGTTTCATTTTAAAATGTCTTCTGTTACTTAGATCTGCAATCGGAACCATCGCCTTACTCTCGTTTTTTGCTATTTCGATGCTGTTACCAAAAATGAAACAGACTTTTAATTCAATTGACGAAAATTACTATGCTAATGAAATCTGAATAAAGTTTATGGACATCACTTAAGGACATACGCAAGGTACGTTACCTACTGATAATTTTCCAAGATATTCTTAAGATTATAATATCATCAGATGTTCATAGACAAAAAATCAGCATGCATTACCAGGGTTTTTAGAATATATCAAATTATGAAAAATTTTGCATTATTTAAAGAAAAATATACAAGAATTACGAAACATAAATTCCAGATTTTTTTCTCTTCGGATGAGACCGTATAAACCGAGGCTCCGTGTCACAGCAGGTGTGGCACGATAAAGATCCCTCCCTGCTCGATAGCCCTGAGTGCCGAGCATAGGCCTAAATTTGCAGCCCTTCACCGACAATGGTGACATCTCCATATCAGTGAAATATTCTGGAGAGGGACGTTAAACAGTATACAATCAACCAATCAATCTATCAGAATTTGTTTTAGAAGAGGTGTACAAATCCATATATAGACATTAAAGGTATTGCACACAGGTCCTTTATTTAGTGGAACTCTTCAACTCAAGGGAAGAGTCAAATAAAGTTCAAACTACGTTTCCTATGACCTTAATACCTAATGTATACCTAGAGGAGAAAGTATGAACTCTGGTGCAAGCGTTTCAGAGAGGAGTTTATTTGCAAAATTATTAATTTTTAAGTATAGATTGTAAACAATCAACTAACAAGGTAAATCGAATTTACTCTTAAACATTTCAATTCCTTCTAAGCTTTACAGTACAGTAATATACGCTATAACTTGCGCCGGTTTAAAATGCGGTAGGGAATTTATATTTATTATGTTTACAATAAAAATTACAAAAAATTTTGTAAATTACACCATTAAAATTAAACGCGTTTTAAGAAATAAATAACAAGTTTATAAACTTTAATGGGAATTGAAGTGGGTCGGTCACGTGATCAAATCCTGTGAAGGCCGAAGGCCTTCTCAGAAGATTTGATCACGTACCCACCCACTTCAATTTCCATTGAAGTTTATAAACTTGTTATTTATTACTTATATATACATTTGAGACAGACAATTTAATATTTTCGAATTTAAATTATTGCACTTACCGTCCGTCGTAGATTTTGAAAAATGACGCAAGGTGTAAATCGGCTTGCATGGCGGTTACGCTTCGAATTCATTAGGCTAAGGAATCTATTTCGAAGGGGATATTTTGTGAAAGGCTACTTGTGATCAGTAATAGTGAACAGATTGTTGTCTGGGAATATTTTTATTCGTGAAAATTGATAATCGATGCTGAAAAGACACAAGAAACACGTCCGAAAGTTTGATGATAAAAAATTGGAGGAATTTCGGTCGTCGGAAAGGGATGGATGGATCCGATGGATTGAAACACTTGTCCGAGCCAGTTAATTTGCAATTTGATCAAAAACATTCTACGATTTCAGTAACTAAAGGCATACTTATCGTAAAACATTAATAAACACGGAGACACTGGCGACACTTTTACATGTACATTGAACTACGAAAACGCCGAGGTGTTTGGCAGCTGTTCATGGCATGATTGCAACGATATTTTCTAACTAACAGATTTACACATTTATCGTGAGTAGAATTTAAAGATAAAATAATAGTTTATTATGAAAATTTAACCGAAGGTCTACCCCCAAAAATAAGGATGAATTAGAGACTGCGAGGCTGACAAAAGTGAAGAAAAATGTCAACAAGCGCTAGTTTTCTCTATAGATGTACACAGGCTGAATAGATAGCCAAAAAATGTATGAAAAACTTGTTTACATTGTAAATAAATAAAATTATCATTTTAGTTGCTTATTTTGTTCATTTTTTATACATGAAAATGAAGTAAAGCAGGTCATTTTATAATTTTGTACCGGTAGATATTATTGCGCCCTGTGATCAGGTCACGTATTGACCTCTGACCTTTGACAAACTTCATACAGAATTGAAGATATTTTCTCTCTGTATGTTTATATAATGGAGAGATACCACAAATGTATATATATAAAGTTATCAAATTAGAATTACTTATAATCCTGCTAGGATTATTTTAAAATAAATCCATCACTTGATGCCGTCGCTTCTTTTAGATTGATAAACAAACATGGCGTCAAGAAAACGAGGTAGGCCGTTTGAGATACAACTCACTTTTGAAATGGATGGCAAGCGTCTTACTTAATGGTACTTATCTTTCAATGTAATCAGCATCAACCATCTACTGTGTTATGACACATATTAACCTTTTATTAATAATCGTTGTCAAAATGCAATATTTCCATTTCTAATTTTTTTCTTTGTGATAACTCTTTGAAAGTAAGGGGGAGTTTATTTCTTGATAATTCTGCCAGAATGTAAATTAGGCAGGTCGATAGGTCAGGAGCTAAGGAGGCCTAATACGCATGCAAATCTCGTGCGCATCTGTCTTTGTGTCTGACGCCAAGGAGGCCAAATATGCATGTAAATCTCGTGCGACTGCCTTTGTGTTTGACGACAGTGTGCGAGGACTATATTGAAATAAGCATGGAAGTTCTCGTGTAATTTAAATCTATAAGTCTACATTTTTAATGTCTAAGTCTGCAATTTTATTTCGCAATGAAATGGAAATATAAGGAATTAAATCACTGTCTAGTTTTGAGAGTATGCCAGGGACATCAACAGTAGTGGGAAACATGAATAATTTTAGCATAACGGGCTTCGCCCGTTATGAAAATTATCCCATGTTTCCCACTATTGTTGATGCCCTGGCATACTCTCAAAACTAGACAGTGATTCCTTAAACATACCTCGTTGTCTATGATTTCCTATGGACATGCGTTTCTAAATATAGGCCTACTATTTACACACTTCCTTCATAAATATTCATGAAAAGTGCAGTTATTGCTTAAATTTTTTTGTTATAACAACGGCTTCTAGAGTTAGATTTTGTGGAAAGTATTATTTTTTCATTACACTTCGTGTGTTTCAAATCATTTAAGGTTATCCGATCCTCAGGTTCTGAAAATCAGGCATTGAGTAATTGAAAATGATCACAAAGATGTTTCTAAATTCTCAAATTAAAATGTATTTACCCACGGTGTTCCTTTAAAATTCATCTTTAAATTTAATCATATTATATAGGGAAAATTAGTAAATCTCGAATAATTTTTCAGGAAATGCGATTTGAACTACCTACTGCATATTTTTTAATTGATAATTGATCAAGAAATACATTTTAGGAATAAAAATCATAGGTATCCAGGCTTTTAAAGAAAATTGCATGAATTTTACAATTATTTGTACTTTACTTTCTCCTACTTTCTTCCATTGTTTCATAATGCATAGTGTATGAAGTGTTTCCTTTCAAAGAAAACATTGTAAATCACTTTTAATTTCAAGACCATGCTTAGTAAACATTGGTAACTAAGGCTAAATTAAAAGAAAATTGATTTTTTTTAAATATGCAAGTTTTACTTCATTTTATGAGGTACAAATGTCAACTTTTTAAATAACGTTTGTTAAAACTTTAAAGAGCATTGAATCATATGTAGACGCATAAAATGAAAATTGTTGCATGAAAAAATTTCCATTTCAAGCCTTATTTTTAATACTTTTTGAACTAAATTAAAAATTAAAGAGTTATCCTTCCTGGCTGAGGATCGTATATCCTTAATCATTTTGTTTCGCACAAAAATCGACATTCATGTGGCGTGTATTACTTTAAAAGTTCTTACATCTTGGGCATGAAGGTCCGTGTTTCAGGATGCAGTAGTTTCCCCTGGGCCAATAATTTCTGTTGCTGAATTGATGTGGGTCCTTGGTACAATATTGATACTTGACGCCTCCACTACGGAAAGAACCTGAATTTAGAATAAAATTCTTTTTTTCACTCCTTATAGCATATATTTATTTATTTATATATTTACGTATATTTGAAAATGTTTACTACATTTTCTAATTGCCTTATTTATTTTTTATGTCTTTTATGGTTTTTATTTTACAAAATTGCATTTGAGAACTAGTAATTTTTGTTCTGTCAGACACCGTAAAATTCTTCTTAAAAATACCTGCAAAGTGGTGCCTTGGAGTGAAAAAAATTTTATTGTGTGTGTCTTCACTGTCCTGATGTCTCCATCCCTCAAGCCAGCCCCGGGGACATCCAGATTTAGGTTTTACGAGGGTATATGTCCCTCGAGGCCAACTAACTGAAGAATTATTTTTAATATTAAGTAAGTTCTTTTAATAAAACCAGCATCAAGTCTCTCTCTCTCTCTCATTTGAATCAAAGTTTGACATTTCTAAGCTTGCATTGGTGGTGCAAAACATCATTTTTGGGAGCTATTTTGTACATATTCTTATCATTTTGAAAAAAAATTAGAATACACTGTAGTTAATTGAAGGAGTGCAATTCGGCAATAAAAAGAATGTCAACAATTAAAAAGTAACAGTGTGAATATTAACAAAAATGTAATTGTTGATATATAAAAGTGAAAACATAAAAAGTAATCCTGACATCAACATTAATGACAGTGCAAATATTTAAAAAAAAAGTTGTCTTTACATTCAGAAAAATGTAACATTAAAAAACTTACAAAGTCAAAGTAAAAAAAAATTAAAGATCCCAACATAAAAAGAAAGTACAATCTGATTGACAATGAAAATTTCAAGGAAATCAAGGATTGACCTTATAAACTGACTTTTCTACAATGTTCACAATATGGAGAATGGGGAAAGGAAATTTTTTTAGAAGTCTAATGATCCAATTACTCAATAATGCATGAAACTTTAAACAAACAAAACAATGTACGTACCTTGTAAAGTGGAAGCAGCCAGAGAGAAAATGACTGTAATAGCTATTAATGACATCTTTCTGGTATACAGGGATACTTTTCTGAAATTAAAATATCTGATTTTTTAATTACAGATATGCTCCTTGCCTTGACATGTAAGATCAGTTTATTTTCAACTTTTAAAATATCAGAATTTTTATTTTAAACAATAATCTATAAAAGATGAAAATGTTCTTTCTTTAGTTTAAAATATATTTTTTAAAAAAGTTTAAAAGAAATAATCAGAATAAAACACAATATACTATTGATGTAAGAACTTTGAAGATGGTAACGAACATATCAGATAAAATACATACATATAAATACCTACCCAAGAATTGTTACCTACCTGAAGATTGTCATCTGGCAAAGTTACGGTTTAATTTAATTTATACTATTTCTGCGTTAAAAAAATTCAATTTGGTAACTTGATAAGACTACGGAAGCGTATTAGTGCCACGCAATATTTTTTTTAAAGTTGGTAATTCCAACTTTAATCTTGGCTTTTCCAACTTTAAAGTTGGAAATTCCAACTTTAATCTCGGTAATTCCAACTTTAATCTTGGCTTTTCCAACTTTTATTCGAGCTTTTCTACCCCCCCCCCCCTTTTCCATCCACTGTCTTAGTTTTTTTTTTTGTTTTAAAGTATATCAGCAACTTAATTAATGTAAAATTAACACACTGAAATATATTTCTTTGCAGATTATCATTGCAATCTAGGGGTAGGGGGCCGATCGCGAAAGAGGGGGGGGGGGATAAGAAGGACGGACTGGGCTATGGGGAGTTATTATATGGTACATAAACAATATTTAATGGAAATAAAATACTAGCTCATTGAAATAAATTGTTAACTCTTTCTATCTGTGTTGGCTTTATTTTTTACCTTGACCTTCCTTAAGACCTTACATAAAACTTTTAATTAGATATCCTTATATTCCTTTTAGTCCTCTTGTGTAATTATATTGAAATTAACTTCATATAAATTATGTACACAGAATTCCGTACATGACAGGATTCCAACTTAACCAATTACAGATATTAGTCATTATGTATTGTATGAAAGAATAAGCTATAAAAATGAGACAACAATTAAGTACTCGATGTAATAAAATTTTATTTAATCGAATGAAAAATTTTGTGCTAAATATACAACATAACTAAATGTATCAATTCTGTACTGGCCCGCGCCGGTTCCAGGATTTTTTTTCAGAGGATGGGAGGGGGGGGGGTATCCCAGCCAGAAATATGTTGACAAGCAAAAAATTAATAAGAAAATAAATAATTGGAAAATAAAGTTGGAAAAGCCAAAATTATGTTCCCCAAACGAAGTTGGGGAACATATTGTTTTTACTCTGTTTCTTATTAAGTCTTCCGTTCACAACGGAAGACTTATAGTGTTTGTATTGTTTCTTTTTATTATTATTATTATTATTATTATTATTCCTCCCAAATTTTGTGAGCGCGATTACTCAGAGATGGCTGGATAGATTTTCACAATTTTTCATATGTAAGTAGGTTGATATATGAAGTTTATATAAAATTCCGTTTTTTGAAAAATTCACTTCCGGTCTGAAGTTATGGCCGATTTTCGAATTTTTAAATAGACTTTTGTCCGGCAGTTTTCTCGGAAACGGATTGAGGTAAAGATATAAAATTTACAGGAGTATTAGATCATGATATTCTATTTGTTTTGAAGTTGTTTTCGCGTGTTTCCAGTACTTCCTGTCCGAACCGGAAGTGAATTTGTTTTTGGTCAATTTTTGATTTTTTTGTTTTTAGATATTTTTTCAAGATATTCTTAAGTAAAACAGACATTTTTCTACAAATACTAAATATATAATTTGTTTTTAAATCAGATTCCGCATTTTGTATATTTTCGGTACCGAAATTTTCTCTATTTACGTAGTATGTATAAGGTGGGCAAAGAAAGATAACTCTGACCTGTGAATGAGAATAGAACTTTCGAGATAAAGGCGGAAATAGTATTGATGACTTCAGAGACATAAACACTCTCCAGATCAACATATTTACACATTCAATATTTCATCTTTTGCATGCTACTTAATCCATTATATGTAAAATTTTAATTTGGCTGTGTAGTGTTAGTCTGTATATTGAAAGTTATTTATTTACAAATTTATATGTAAAAAAAAAATATCCGTTCTGTGTCAACTAAGCACTTTGAAGAAAATAGTATTGTACGCAGTATACATTACAGCGATGTATATACAAATCATTCTACAAAAATACTAAACATATTATTTATTCAATCGGATTCTGCATTTTGGAGATTCCGGCAATAAATTCATTTTCTCTATTTACGTAGTGACAATAAGCAAAGATAGATAACTCTGACATGTAAGTGGGAAAAGAACTTTCGAGAAAAAGGCGGAGGTAGTATTCATGACGTTGCAGATGTCTAGACCTACACATTCCACATAAAAAAAAAAATATTAAGACTTTGAGTTTCCATATCCACTTCTACATGTAAGATTTAAAAATCTAGATCTGCTCCACCTTCTTACTTTGATTACTAAATGTTCTTCAAACTAGACTACGACATAATTGTGTATTGAATAACGACCTTTATAGATGCAATTTAATATCAAGTCCCTTATGCACGTGCGGTAAAGTTGAGGACACATATCATTATTTTTTCGTATGTCCCAAGTATGCGAACGCTAGAAATGAATTTTTACATAAATTTTTACAATTTGAAAAAATCCACATACTATATAGATACACGTCTTATTATGGGGGTTGATTCACTGAATACTGCAGAGAACGAACATCTCTTTTCTTTAGTTCAAACATTTATTAAGCATTCTGGTCGATTTCCTTGTTAATTACTGTACCAATATTAATATATGAATTTGTTCAACTTTTTATATATTTATACATATATGCAAAATGCATCAATTTGTTTACTTTTGCAAATACTGAATACTTTATATAGCATGTTTAACTGTGACAATACATGTATAAATGTGTAATTTACATGTATAGGGAGAGGGCGTTATAAGTTTTCAGAACTTGTGCTCAATCCCATTGTAATTATATTACAATAAAATATGTTCAAATCACAGGTAAGATTACGTTAGTTACCGCTTTCAGTATATGCATAGTTTAAAGTTGCCAGCGTAGTGTAAGTCTGTAATGGCAGTTATGATTTTACACATGAATATATATACATAAAATATTCTTAATTCATTCTCTGATTTGAATGCGAAATTATCCCGGAATCAGAGTTTTATTTTCGATTCTAAAATATTACATGTACTCAAAAGGGAACTGAGCGAAAGAAGAGTAAATGTAATTAAAAGCTTTTAGAAATAAATTGATATCTGCCACTTATAATTAAAAGAAAGAAAAACAATCTATAGATTAGATTTTGTTTTAACATGTATATTTCATTGATAAAAAGTCGTTGTTATTTATTTTACATGATCTATACTTTTATATACCCGAGAAGTTATAAAAGATGAGAAAAAGCGATTCTTGGATTTTTGTGAAATACTAATACTCAAAGGGTTAACATTATGTGAAAACGCGATTCTGTGTGAAATAATGCTACGCTAAAACATCTGCTAGTAAGTGAAAGGTCAGTTGATATGTTGGATAAAGTATAACTATACGAATGAATTTTATGCAATGTTATATGATTATATGTATGTACATGCAACCTGATGGATTTTCCTTATAATTCATAAAACATAAAATTACTGAGTATGTAATTCTTTTGAAGCCCCCCCCCCTATTGATTATATTCGGAGACATTCTTGCAAGTATTGGCTTTTGAATCGTTATACAATTAAACCTGAAACATTTGGTTATAATTACCATAAACATGTATACAGAATTTCAAATTCTATAATAGTAGATTTTTCATTATGCAAGATACTGAAATTCACATGTCTGAGAGAGAGAGAGAGAGAGAGAGAGAGAGAGAGAGAGAGAGAGAGAGAGAGATTCCCTTTTAATCCCGATTATCCTATCCATTTACATAGACAAAATATCAGTTCTATATCAGTTGTACCCATTCTTTATTAAATATTTTCTGATTTCATAGTCCGTCATAGTCAATCTCTGTATATTTTTCTGCTTAAGAAATATCTCGCGAAGTGCACATGTATTGACCTGTTAATCAAAATCACCGGACGCTGTATGCATTGCAATAAAGTTGTTCGAAATGATCTTTATTAAGTATGATCTTCAGAAAATCTGATGCAACAAATTTGTGAAATGAAAAATAAAAATAAAAACATGGCTAGAGCATCATATATCATAGGCGCTTGGTTTCAGGATTGAATTTTTCATCGCCGATTTTTAACGATGAGAAATGTAGAGGCGTCCCGGAATTACACGGAAAATCTAGAGAGAACAAGTTTGGCGCGGTTTCTGACCTCTCTAGATTTTCTATGTAATTCCGGGACGCCTCTACATTTTTCATCGTTAAAAATCGGCACTTCCGTTGCTTTCGATAAACAGGTGCAAGAATCGAGGACGTTTTGGGTTTACTGCATGTTTTATAGGGCAAGTTCAAATCGGCAGACGTTTGAAAGGCGTTAATCAATCATTTTTGAAGCTAGATCTCACCCGACACTAGTAGGAAAAATGTAGAGATAGATGAAAATTAAGTGTGGACCAAGGCACTCCCTGATTTACAAGATGGAGAGTGGCGCTCCTTTACTTTTTATACCCCCCGCTTGAAAAGCGGGAGGGTCTATAGTAATCGTTAATTCCGTCCGTCCGTCCGTCCGTCTGTACGTCCGTCCGTCCGTCTGACTATTATGCGTTGGGGTATCCATCTCTTATCCGCAACTCCTCTTAAACCACTGAATGAAACTTAATGAAACTTTCATAGAATCTTTATTACATATTGCCATTGTGCACCTCCTATTTTACTTCTTGATCTGACACATATTTTGGGTTTCACGGCCACGGCAAAACATGGACTTTGTCACAGTTATAACCATATGGGAGGCGGGGGGTATCATTTAGTGAGCTCATTGCTCACAGTACCTCTAGTTTTTATATACAGTAAATATGACATTTTTAAA